AATAATTGGTACAGCAAGAGGAATGGCGCATAGAATCGGGGATTATTATACAAGAGATAGATCAACGCCTCGTCAAGACAATTATTGGGGTGGAAAAGATAGCTTGACAGCAGCCATGGGTTTCGAACGAGATGGTGTAACCACAATACTCTTCAGAAGAAAACTAGAAACAAACGAACCCACGGATCATGCTTTCCGCGAAGGTAATATGCATGTGATATGGGCCAAGGGTCAGGAGCCAGGTCAGTACGTTCATCATCCACCGAGTGGTATTGAAAAATCCAAGGTCTCCGTTAAGGAATTTTATAAGGTCGATGAACTAAAATATCACGGACATAATTCTCAAAGAGGTGTAACAACCATCGACTTCTTTGGTAAGTGAAAAATAAAACACATTGAAATAATTTAAAGTCAAATAATGAAACAAAATAATGAATTATTTATAATATTTTCATAGAAAACAATGGGGAAGAAGAGGAAGTTAACGTACCGGTACCAGGTGGAGGCTGCGGTGGTTCATGGCAATATCCAAAACATTGTTCGGTTGAAAATCATACATGCGAGTACGCCATAAAATGGAATTACAAAGCAAAAATGGTAAATCGATCTCTAACCAATTAATATCTCGTATTATTACTGAGTATTGTTGTTAGGATAATTATTGATAAATATAGCTATCTTCCTAGGATCAAATATCTTTCGTGATTTCGACAACGAACACAAGTAGTTGGACTGGAGTTGGATTTTCTAAGGATGACAAAATGGTTAGCACCATGCAATATTGACACCTTTATCCAAGCTCCTATTTTGATTAATACGTAACGTCATATGTCTTTTTTATAGACACAAACGGATGCAGTCTTAGGATGGGTGGATAAAACCACTGGTCGGGAATTCGTCATGGACACTTGGATGAGCGGTTACAATCCTCCCCTGTTAGATCCTTCCCAAGATATTTATAACACACACGGACGAATCGAGGATGGAATTATGACAATACGATTTTCAAGAAAACGTATCACAAGTGACACTACTAGAGATTTCTCATTTACCGATGATAATTGCCTGTACATGATGTATCCGATAAAAGGTGGCAAATACAATCCAGTTAACAAAAAGATTCAAAAACACAGCACTCCGCCAATGGTTTCACGAAAAAAAATCTGCATAAGGCCTTGCGGTGCAGAAGGTGTTCACCAATAAATACATTAACTTTCTTATCATTGCATAATCGTTCCTCCTCTAATCATTTATTTTAATTTCTTTAGAAATAGAAGCAATGACAACACCAGCTCCACCAAGATTCTATTACGATATTGAAGTTAAGTTAATTAACCTCGGTGATGGTTTTGTTCCACCATTGCGTAATAGTCCTGATTTCGAAGACATCTCGAACAAGATAACAGACAATTTTGGGCCGATTTTCAAAGACCTTCCTGGATATTATCGAACCTATCTAGAAGAATTGAAACAGTAGGTATTAGGACATCATAAAAACAAGATAAATAAAATATATGTTTCTCTTTTTTACGTTTATCGTATTGTTATCACAGAGATAAAGAACAAACTGGATCAATAGCGCACATTAAACTAATTTTGGATAAGAATGAAATCAAAGGCAGAGCTTTAAATCTGATGGACACAACAGCAGCTGCAGAAAAGGCATTAAAAGAAGTTCTCGTTAGTGGCAAAGTCGGTGCCCTCTCCGTTGATCCTCAGTATCTAGCAATCAAAGCACCTAGTAAGTATTACGATATCCAAGTCACATTTAGAAAGTAAACCTGTTTAACGCGATCAACTGAAAATTGGTTACTAGAGAAAATGGTAAATCATATACGAGGGTGAGTCAATAATTATTCTTAATATCTGATACTTTTTTGTGTCAGTGTTTGCGGTTCTACTTTACAAACGTACAAGTTAGAATACGCTAGATTGGTTACATTTTGTTTACCATAACATTCAAGATGACTGATTTGCTTTACATTTGCATCAAAAAATATAGCAAATATTTTATTCATCTCTTGTTATAAAAATAGTTATTGATTCATTCACGTAAATATTTTCTGACACATATTCATAGAACATTTAATTATGATTCTTGTAAATTATCAATTATAGAAATTTCTGTTTTCGAATACAATTAATAATAATAAAATTGTTCATTGACAGTAAGCGAAGAAAACGAAGTAAACAATGAAGACGATCGACCATCAAAACCGACATTCCTGTTAAGCGAAACAAAATTATACATCGTCGTTGGATGCGTTGCTGCATTGATAGCATTAGCTCTTTTACAAGCTAGCTGTACACTTTACAAATCCTCGAGAAAACGTTCAATCAAGGTATATATAATACTTACATAGATCTTTCGTAAAGGGAAAAAAAAGAAACAAGGAAGAAAAAAGAAATCAAAACGATCCCTTCTTCACTTTATCCTTTTTTTTTCATTTCTTCTTCTTCTTCATCTTCATCTTCATCTTCATCTTCATCTTCATCTTCTTCTTCTTCTTCTTTAGATGATTTTCTCTATCGCCATCTTTACGTATACTGAAGTGTTAGCTCTAACAGCTTGTCGTGTGTTATCCTTTCTTTCAATGTTAACAACCACATTCCCATAACTATGAGATAGATTAAAATCGGTCGTTCTTAATTTATCAATCGATTATTTAGATCTAACTAAGTCGTTCATTAACACGTTAGTTTACACGAATCATTGATCTTGTATATCAAAGTAGAAACACCGCCCACCTCCCCCTCCGCCCCTATCTTTTCGAGCTTTATATGTATCTCGAAGTACGTCTTTTGCTTTTGCTTGTATTGTTGCATGATTGTGCTCTCCTCGCGACCGTCACAAATAAAGAGGGTCTACTCGCTGCCTCTGGTTTACTCCGACGCGGTCAACCCGATTCATCGAACTAACGCGACGCGGTCCCACCGACAAAACGGCGATCAACATCATCACTACAACTACCATCATCATCATCATCATCATCATCTTCGGCATCATCAGAATGCTCCGAATGAAAAGCACCGGCCTAATCCCAGCTGGTAGAAATCTCACACTTCAGATATAATCGACAAACAAAATATTCATCGTTTTCCTCGTTTTCTCACTAATCAAGGTATCGCTAATTATCTCTCTCTCTCTCTCTCTCTCTCTGTCTCTGTCTCTCTGTCTATCTCTATTTCTCTCTATCTTGTTCTTTATCTTTGTCTATCTTCCTCGCTCATCCCGGTGTTAACATATAATTCTACTCCTATCTTTCGTATATTTATATATTTGGGCGTCCATACTCTACAATTCATAGAAAATTAAAAAATAAATTAAAAAAATATGTATAATTTACAAATATCTTGTAATTTTCGCAAAAAATATTTGACGTAAATATTGTAACAACTGGTAAGTAATTTTCTGGCATTGAACATTAAAAAAATTGCAACTTTTTGTTAAATACTCAACAATTACAGCCAGAAGGTTAAAATAAAGTTACTATACATGTAAAATTTTTAATAGAGTTATCTATATTTAAATAATTAGATGTTATAATTGTATTCATAGGACCGACTAATAAGCAGTAATGCATGGAAAGATTATTCCTCCGGAGCAAACACTAACTTTGGATTCGAGTCTTTCGAAACAGAAGAAAAAACTCATCCACCACCGGTGTCCAGTCTTCCAAGACCTAGAGAAATGACTGGGAACGGTACCAGTCTTGATCACGACACAGTAGAGGGTCCTAATAGAATAGTCAGTCCTAGAGCAACTTATAGTTTACCTCGTGCTCCAGGTTCGAGGCAAAACGTACTAACACCAATGCAACCAGGTTATTATACTCAAGATCGTAGGAATCAGTATCAACGATCAAAGGGTCTTCAGGATACGACGAACAATGCAGCAACTCAGGCGAATCAGCCGGACTTTTACTTCATGCCAAGTCAACGTAAATACAGCGGAGAAGTTGTGCGTGTTTATGTTGATTACGACAGTCAAATGCCAAAATGAGGAAAGCGCTATGAGAATGGAAAAGCATAGTAAATAGTGCGTTTGGTATCGAAACTTTCCTACAAATGATTTCATCTTTTTTCTTGCTTCAATGAAGCGTTATGTAAATAAAGGTTGAAATCTCGTGAACAAAAAAAAAGAGCGGAACAAAATTAACAATCAATTCTCAGAGAGTTTAAGAACATTTCTGGTGTTTGAACGTTAAGGAAATCTACTTTCGAAGCTTTCACTCTCTCGAGAATATCGTGTACGTATGTATGCATAATGTATGCGTATTTGTCTCTTCATCATACGTACTCCGATATTAGCACGAAAAAAAAAAAAAGAAAAGAAAAGAAAAAAAAGGATATTTCAAGAAAAGTGGAAACGATACAAACTTACAGTAGCAGCCGCTTTCGACCAAAGAATTAATCAATAGTGTGCGCAAGCGCTTCAAAGTCGTGCGTGATTTTGTACAAAAGTGTGAGAAAATGAAAGCCGCGATCGACCATCAGTGTTACAGACATGACGAACGCACACCGTTATTATAAAATATCTTAAATTCATATCGGAATGACGATAAACGCGTTGCGGTATATACTATATGATGTAAATATGAAAATTATATATTATATATGCGTAAAAGATACGAGTAGAATGCGACACACGTATTTTTACGATAATAATAAGTTTGTACATTTTTGTTCTTTTTCTAAATGGATTATACGATACTTCTCTCTCTCTCTCTCTCTCTCTCTCTCTCTCTCTCTCTCTCTCTCTCTCTCTC